AGAGAGAGAGAGAGAGAAAGAGAAACAGAGAGAGAGAAAGAGAGAGAGAGAGAGAGAGAGAGAGAAAGAGAGAGAAAGAGAAAGAGAGAAAGAGAGACAGAGAGAGAGAAAGAGAGAGAGAGAGAGAAAGAGAGAAAGAGAGAGAGAGAGAGAGAGAGAGAGAGAGAGAGTGGCCGGCTCCAGGCACACGCACCACGCTGTTGCTGAGGTTGACAAAGGCACACACACCGGTGTTCGGGGGAATGATCGGGGCGTAGAAGGTGGCATTGCAATGCATGTGCTCCGGGGTGTACTTGAGCATGCGGTTGCGCTGGCCATCGTCCTTGATCGACAGAAGCGGCGTCGCCTGGAAGCGCCGCCAGCCGACCGACAAGACCAACGGGTCCTGGTTCTTCAGGATCTTCTTGTACCAACGGTGCTTCTTCAAACGAATCTGAATAAAGCCGACGGTGTCCTCGCCCGGAAGCAGAGCACCAACCACAATCAGGTACCGGGGGTCGAAGTGCTGGACAAACTCGCACGGCAGGCCCTCGAGCACGATGCGCACATACTGCCCCGGCTGGTAGCCGATGAACTGGGCACGCATTTCCGGGGCAATGTCCTCGAACTCCTGGCGGTTGAACTGCTGCTGCTGCTCGATGGCCTTCTTCTGCCGGTCGAAGTCGGTCTCTTCCTTGTCCTCGGCCCCGGCGCCGCGTGACTCGTACTCATCGATGAAGCGCTGCTTGAGCAGCTCCTTCTTGCGCTGGAGCTCCTCCTCGGTTGGCTCATCGCCGCCCTCATCGTCACTGAGGATGGAGTCTCCGGCCCCGGCGGCGGAGGCGCCGCCGCCGCCGCTGCCATCCTCATCCTCCAGGTCCTCGAAGTCCCCGGTGGCATCGTCATCACTGCCGGCACCCGCGGCAGCACCCTCGGCCCCGGTGTCGCCGGTGATGAAGCGCGACCGCAGCGAGGCCAGGAAGTCCGGATCCTCCCACAGATCGGCATCGGCCACATCGCCACCCAGGTGCAGGTTCAACTTGGCCCCGTCGTCCATGTGGGCCAGCTGGCTGCTGGTCGAGGAGCGCACCTTGCGGAAGCCATCGGCATCCGGCTTGCCCGCCGACCCGGCATCCTCCTCGGCCCCATCACCATAGACCAACTTCTGCAAGTTGACCCGGCGATTGACCTGCATGCGCTCGGCCAGTGAGTCGATGTTGGCACGCCACTTGGTCTCGGAGGCGTCAGCGATGCCGGCATCCAGATCCATGCGGTCGGGGTTGTAGACGAAGTCCGCCAGGTCCGGCTCGTCGTCGTCGTCGCCGTCGTCGTCGTCATTGCCATCGCTGGCGTCGTCGCTCTCATCCTCCTGCTCATCAAGCTCGGAGTCGGTGTCGGCAAAGGCCAGCTGCCCATCATCGCCATCCTCCTCGTCCAGGGCGCCAGTGACGTTGGCCCGGCGGATGCGCTTCTGATGGGTCTCCTCGTCGATGTCCTCGTCCTCGTCGAAATTCTCCTCATCATCCTCATCCTCATCATCATCGTCCTCGCCGTCGGAGATGGTGTCGTTGAAAGAGGAGTTGGTGCCGTCCTCAAAGAGGGCACGGCGGCGCACGCGCGGCGCGGCCTTGTCCAGGGCAAACTCTGGAGCCAGGCATGTCGTTCGAAGGTAAGCGAAGGTAGAACCGATGAGCAACACCACGGGAACCGGAGGGTGGGGAGGGGGGGGGGCGGGGGCAGAAGAAGGCAAAGGAGGGAAGGTGATACGCACTGGCGCGCGCCTCGGAAGCCAAAACTGGGGCCGAGTCCTGGAAGATCTGCAGCTCACTCTCCTCCAGCTTATCGGCCAGGGTGTGTTTGCTGTCCTGCAGCGAGATGACCATCTGATCGCCCTCACTGCGCTCCACTGTGCGACGAGGCACACGCATGGTCCATTGAGAGAGAGAGAGAGAGAGGATGGATGGGTCAGCATTAATCCGGGGGAGGGGGGGGGAGGGGCAAAAGTACCGGCCCGCCCGCGAGGGGACATGTGACCGGCGAGCACGCACTATCAACCTCGAGGCCAGAGCCATCGGACTTGCGCTGGTACACACCCGGAACCTCGACATAGACACTGTCGCGATCATAGGTGATCTCGCCAATGTCGGACATCTACGCCGGGACCAGGAAAGGGAAGAGGGGCACCGAGAGGAGGCGGAGCAGGGCGGGAAAGACGGGAGTTAGACATCCGTACAATTCATGTGTCAAAAAAGAAGTCGAAGGAAGGGGGGGGGGGCGATGGCGCCAAAGGGCGGGCTGTCATACCGGAGCATAGATGAGCTTGTGCTTCTGGTCCAGGCGCTTGGCCACCTTGTCCGGCAGGGGGCACGGGTCCTCCAGAGCCGACACCTCCTTGATGGCGAAGTCGCCGACACCCGGGAGATGAACCTTCTGGTGGGACTTGAGGTTCGTGCCACGCACATAGCCATACAGGGCCACGGTCCGGTCACAGTGGACATCCCGCTCGATCAGGTGCGGCTGGGTGATGTCCTCCATGCGATCGGCCACCACATGCGAATGGCTGTTGCGCCAGATGAGCGGCCGGAACTTCATGACCGAAATGAAGCGCGACAGGTTGTTCACCTCCATCTTCGGGTAGCGCCCATTCAGCAGACCACTCAGGTAGAAAAGCTTGGCTCCCTCGTAGATCTCGGTCCAGAAGCTGCGACATGTCAGAACACCGGGCCGGGGCCGGGGCCGGGGCCGGGGCCATGGGCAAGGGGGCCGGCCTGGAGGGCGGGAACAAAGGCAAGGACATTTGAGACGGACCGCTGCTTGAGGCGCTTCTTGTGCTTGCGAAGGCTCTTGTCATCGGCAAAGCCATCCAGATGAGTCAGGACACCCATGATCCGAGGGAAGCCATGGGTCTGGCAAAGGTTCAGGAACTCGAAGGTCTCCTGCGGGTGACCAGAAGGAAGGGAGAGAGAGGGGGGCGGGGGGGGGGGGGAGGGGGAGGAGAAGGGACATCAGCAAGCAGTGACAATAGATGTCGTCGGGTGAGGGGGAAGGAGAAAAGTGCAC